AGAAAGATTCACTTTTCCGAATTGTATCGATGTAAATTCATGGCGTACACGCGAATTCTTTCGTCGCTTTAGTGGTTTCTCGATTTTCTCAGTTTGTGCCAGGATTTCTCTAGAAAACATTTTTAAAAAGTGTTTTTGAGAGTTTGGCTAGTGAGAAAATTTATGTTTGGGAACGCTGCAGTTCATTTTTCATAAATGTGGGGACGCCCAGAAGTAACCCGGGTGATAGCTTTTATCAGTAACACTTGCCCTCTGTTAAGGCTTTCATTGACTTCCTCTTTTAAAGATTGGTTATACCCAAACTGATAGCAAATTTGATACTAGCGGAGTCGAACCCTCCATCTCCGGCATGAAGGTAAAGCCATCACTGCGCCATGCCCACCACTGGAAATCGCTTTATTTATTTTTGCGATTTATTTTAAATAGCCTTTTAATTGTTCCACAATAACATTCGGGTAAATATGATCCTTCAGCACTGGACTTGCCTTTCGTGGTCCTGTTGGATCTCCTAAAGAAACCATTTATCCTACCCGGACCGTTGTATTCGCCGTTGGACATACGAAGAAGAAGAAGAAGATGAATATACTTTTACAATACTTTTATAGCATTCTCTGGTTTCTGATTAATTTAGATGTCCGAATCATCCAGAGCGTTTGGAGAAAATTAACAACTTGCGCTTGTTGTTCATCAATATGCATCATCTGATCAATGAATACCGTCCTTTGCAAGCACGCGATACACTGCAGGTGATGATGAAGGCGCAGATCAAATCTATTGAGGTACGCTTCTTTCTTCTTCCTTTATCTTCAGAACAAGTACTTGTAAAGCGGATGTCGTATTCATGTAATTTTCTGGCAGAATAGGCTCCCTTCGAGATTTTAGATCTGTTACTTGGGAAACCATTTGATCTGCTGTCCCTTGCTTTTTTCCCAAAAAAACCTAGGCTGGAACGCACCGGGCGGGCCCGTGCGATCATGCGTTTTTGCACAGGACTTGATGTACTCAGGTCATTAACTGCATGAATGGTTG